CTCAGCATCCGTATTCTTTCTCTGATAGCCTCTGTGTTACCGAGTGAGCACACGAAACGTCTTTCTCCTATAGAACATGGAAAAGCATGTACAACTCTGAAACTCTGGGCTACATCATTGCCTTAGGTCACAATCACTTACAATTGAAAAATAATGAGATGAATTACTAATGCCTTTCTGGAAATAATAAAAGTCCAAGTTTCAGATGAAATTTCATATGTATTGGCTTCAAATACACAATGCTAAAATGTTGTTTACAGAAACAGTATATTGTTTGATTGATCTAAAACCAAGGAAGTTCTACTCAGTCTGTGGTGAGGGCTGGGTGTTACCACGTTTATCACCCCCATCTTCTCTGTGGCTACCATCACCATCTTCACTTCGTAGATGGAGGCGTCTGCATTCAAATCATGAAGACAATGAGCCAAGGCCATGGTGCCCATAAATGGTAGAAGTAGATTCCAAAATTAAAATTTCTGACTCCAAATGGCAGACTCTTTCCATTAGTTGAACAGATGCATATTTTCAGTGATCAGTGGTACTTTCAGGTCATATTACTGAGAACTAGAACATAAAAGAGAACAATAAAACCAGAAAACTAAAATCAACTGATGGCCAACCTTCTAACTCTTAGGGAAAAAAAATGCTGGAATGGAGGAGGATCACCCAGAGCTATGCATACACATAACAAACTCAGGAGAGCAGCAGGAAGGAGCAGTGCACCCTGAATTAGCATCAAGTGATAGGCATTGGGGCCGCCACAGCATCCAGGAAGGCTCCAATGGACTAAGAGAAGAGGCATCTTTGGAGTGGACTCCATTTAGAATGCCATAGGAACCCAAGTACCCATAGACCCATGAATAGATTAACAAACTGTGGTATGTACTATTCAGTTATAAGAAAAGATGGTAAACATATCTTTTCTGTTTACCTTGATGGAGTTAAACACATTCTTCTTAGTAAAGTATCTGAAAAATGGGGGGGAAAAGTATCCAATATACTCAATACTAATATGGAACCAATATATAAACAACCAGATGTTCACACAAAAGGAAAACCCAGTATAGTCTAGCGAGAAGGAGGAGAGAGAAGACAAACCAGAGGGGGTAAGGGGAGGAGGGAGAGTGATTGGCAGGATCTCACCTAATGTGGCACAATGTGAGGGTGTTCAGCACCCCTCTGGGTGAGGGGCTCAACCTGAACTTTACCTTAGAAATGAAAACAATGCAACCTAAACATTTGTACCCTCATATTAATCTGGAACAAAAGAGAAGAAGAACCATGAGTAGGAGGAAAAAGAAGAATGAGTTGGGCAGTAGTAGAAAGAATTAAAAAGGAAAAATATAAAAAGTTATAATAAAACGAAAGTTTTTAAATCAGATCTTTAAAAATGTAGCCTTTCTAGGTAAAGATATGCTTACCTATTTTGAGTTGTGGAACTTGATCCTAGTGAAGTAGAGATTTTGGAAACTCAAAAAATTTTGAAGACCTCTATCATCTTTCAGATAGGCATATACTTATTATTACTAAATGTAATAACTTAATCAGTAATACAGCTTCAAATATATAATTTGACTTCCCTGGGGTAAGTTATTTGCATTGCAATCTAATACAATATACATATGCACACAACATATACGACATGCTGTCAGCCCTTCCTTTATCAATATGTATTGACAAAGTTATACTCAGCCAGATATTAAAGGATTTAAAGAAAGATGTGAATCGATGTCCTTATCTTTGTTCAAAAAGTTTTAAATCTTACATGTAAAGCAAGATACATAAGTGAAACAAAGCCTTATTAAATATATGCAACATTTTAATTTAAAGCCAATATTTCACAGTACTTGTGACCAAAAAAAAGTGCATACCATGTCTAATCAATTTCTAGCATCCTTTTAATTAGAGATTTCTGCAATTTTTGTTCCTAAGAGAAAAAACATTTCCTAAAACAGAAAAGCCTTAGATTCCTGATGTTTGAGTTAGAGGTTAGTCATGAGATAGTTTACTCTGTCATGTAGCAACTTTCATTCAGTCTGGTTTATTCCACACACTCTTTCAACGGGCTTTTCCATCTTAGCCAGTGGCAGCAGCATCTACCGAGCGGCTCAAGACAAAAACCTCGACACTATCGATTTCTCATTTTTAAATTTTTCCTTCTTTAATTGTCACCTCTAAAGCCAAAGTTAACAACATTTTTCACCTAACCGTCAGGCAGTAACTAGTATGCTAACTACTCTTCAAATTTCCACTCTAGACTTTCTATAATACATATATATTCTAAAAAAAAAAAAATCTATGGGGCAGTGCCTGTGGCTCAAAGGAGTAGGGTGCTGGTCGCATATGCTGGAGGTGACGGGTTCAAACCTAGACCCGGCCAAAAACTGCAAAAAAAAATCAATGAAGTGGTTTATCTTAAAATGTTAATCATATTATTTGCTTTCTCACTTAAAAGTAATCGTAACTTCCCATTAGATCACATTCATCCTGATATGTTTCATATTCATTATTGGTCTTCTTTCTTCGTAGATTTTAAGTGCACGAGTGTTTAGTATATTTCCCTTATGCAAGCTGAAACATGACAGAGTTAAATTCTACTGTGTAAATTCTTGCTCCTAATGTTAGTTCTCTTACATATTATTCATTTTTGCAAATATTTTTCCATGCCTTTGCATACATTTTAAATATTTGTAATGTTACTTCAAATTATAAATTAAAATAATTTCAAATTTTCTTCAGTCTAAGTTACCAATTATTCTTTGATAACTAGTTCAGATTATCTTTTAGTACCAAAATCACATATATAAACACTTTCATAATTACTCTAATAATTTTATTTCACCTCTTTTATTTGTTTTTTCATTCATTTGGATTTTTTGTGTCTATACGTGATTTGATGTTGAAATTCTGAAACCACTTAAAAATACCTTTTCAAATTCTAAATCCATGTATATGTAGCAACTTTCAGAAACCTCTGTTCCATTGTCCTAGGGGCCTAGCGATGTCAATGATAACATTTCATTACTTTAAAATTATGTCTTTATACTATATTGTACAACGTGGTAAGAAAAGCCTCTCCCTTCTTTCTAATTAAGTTCCGATATTCTTGCTCATATAAAATTCCATGTGAATTTTAGAAACTGTCCCATAAATTTGTCAAGTTGCAAAATCTGAATATTATTTTACGTTTATTGGGGGAAGCAAATTGACTGTTTTACAGAATTGACTTTTCCCATTCATAAATCTGTGTGGCACACTACATATTCAGATTTTCTTCAATGTCTATTAAGTTACTTAGCAGCAATGTGTACCATGATAAATAACTCTAAAAACAGTTTCCAGCATATCTTGCAAGTTACAATGTTTTGGTGAGGCAGGTGATAACAGAGGAGCCCGCATTTGCTTAGAACTAACAGAACACTCTCTACATTCCATTGCATTCTCAGGGACAATACAAGTACACAGACCACAGCTAAAGAAAGTTTTCAAATTCTTACTATGTACTGAAATGCTGAAACATCACTATAAGAGATCCAGAATCACTTTCATTTTTTGCTGCCACCTCTTTGAGGCACAATATTTTCAAAAGATTTAAACTTAATGGAGTATTTCTACAAAAGTTCATGACCACAAGGAGAAACTCATTCATCATTACTTATTGTGTGTCGCTCTTACAAAACAAGTTTAGAATAGACTTTGGATTTCAGAAGACACCTGCAGATTTCCCTGATGTCTGAAAGCAGGGATGAATAGTTAGCTGGGTCACCTCTCACCTCATACTGAAGCAATAGAGCGGTTACAACTCAGTAACAGAGAGACGGGTCATCCTCTCCAGCGCAAACAAAGCATATTTGTAATACCGTCACTGCATTTATAAATGTATTCTGAAACAGAAAAACAATTGTCTAGTTTACAACGAACTGTACATGTTTAGTGGAATAACAATTTTTATTTTTAACATTTGTTTTCTCTTCTATCATTTCCCCCTAATAAACTAAGAAATGTAACTTGGCTCTAATTAAAAATGAACAAACAGCCCTTCCTTTAATTCACTTGGTTAATTCATGTTTTCATGCTTTTAGGTCAATTTGCTGTTTTCCCTACTGCAATATATTGCAAAAGTTTACATAGCAAATCTTGGTTAATATTAAATGCTATATTTCAAAGTACCTAATAGAA